ACAATGCCAAAATAAATTAAAATATCTTATCTATTGGGACAGATATGATTTTAATAAATGCATATGAGACCTAACAAAGAATCTTATAAATGCAATATAGATGGTGGAGGCTTTTTATCAATGATATCTATCAAAATTAAGATGAAGAATAGCAAACCTTTGCTATAAATGAAAGAAGATCTAGAAAAGATTGCATTCTACCTTTTATATTTGTTTGTATTTTCTATATAATTCTGGTATCAAGGAGATAGAGAACCAACAATCAATAGATTTAACTCAAGAGCCATGATTTATGACTTACTAAATGAAACATTGCAATTATCACAACCTTCAAGACAACATAATAAGGATGAATATCTCCAAGAATGACATGTTCTTTCTCAAATAGATGGCAAGATACAATGTGTTTGGTAATACAACTTGAGAAAAGACTCTCAATATTTGGTAATTTTATTAGAAGTAGGTACAACTCCTAATAGTATTGTGAATATTTTTTTTGAAGGAAGTTATGAAGATTTCAACAATGATCAAATCACAAGGTGGTCTTCCCACTCTAAAATAGGACATTATCGATGGTTGAGAGGACCTATCAATTACTTTCAAAGGAAACAAAGATCAAAGTATATGAGAAATATAATTCACCACACGTTAAACTTCTTCAATATATGATCATCGCTCGTCATGGAACTTGTCCCTAGAAAGGGCGATAATATCATGGATATATACTTATTGTAATAATTATCTAGGTAGGTAGAATTAAATAAAAATAGATTAATTTCATAATATCTTCTAAAAAAGCTTTCTAATACTTCTTAGATTTTGTTTTGGCTTTACATATGTTTGTAGTTGATTGATAGATTAGCAACTTGGTCAACAAGCTACCTATATACTACATGTATTGGTAGCTTGTGAAATAAGCTAACTATGTGGCAACCATATGAAAAACTTGCCTTACAAGTCAAGATACGTGTCATGTAAAGTCAACATGTTTTTGGAGGTCCTATCAAACATCACCACATAGATCTTAAGTAGATAGTATATATAGAGGCAAGAATGAAGCCTTTTTGTTCTTGTCAACTCTTTTCTTACTTCTAGTCTAGATTCAAGAGTTTATAGTTTCATTATCTTTTGGCAATAGCCATTCCAGTTTCTTTTTAATATACATACTTCTTTATTTCTATTTTGTTATACTTGTTTATTTACTTTCATCAAGTTCTTGTCCTTAAGAGGTATACATACTAGAATCTTGGTTTATAAGTTAGACACATATTGAATGAGCTATAGAATATCAATACATTGCTCTTTAATTAGATAGTATATATAGAGATAAAAATGATGCCTTCTTTACTCTTATCAATATTTTATTTGTTTTTTTCTCATTTCAAGAGTCTCTAATCTTCTTGACTTTGATAATAGCTATTTTTTTTCTTCAATATACATAGTTTTATATATTTTTTGGTCATTTTTCTTTGACATATATATTATTTATTTATTTACATTCTTATGCTCTTATACTTGATACTATTACATCTTTTATTTTAAGAAGTTGTGGTATAATAATACAACATAAAAAAAAAGATGTTTAATTTTATCTATAATAAGTAGTGGAAAAGGATTAAGAATAAAGAAAAGTATATGAATAATATTAGTTTAGAAGTGGATAATTTATAAATTTTAATATACTTGTATCTTATCAAAAAAAAAAAAAAAAACATTGTTAATAAAAAAAAATAAAAAAAATCAAAGCTTTGATATTATAAATGTATTCTTATCAATATCTTCAAGATAAGAATTTAAATAATTTAAATAAATAAAATATAATTTATAGCAAAGAAAAATAATTTAAAAAATAAATATATATATATATATATATATTTAAAGAACAAGTGGAATGACTATTATCAAAGACAAAGAAATAAGAGATTCTTGAAATTAGACCACAAATAAGAAAATTATTAATAAAAGTGAAGAATGCCTTATTTTTGACTCCATATATATTTTCAAATTGAAGAGCTATATGACAAAATTATATAGGTCATTTTTATATATGTCAAATTTATGGAATTCATGTTTAAGTTGTGAAGTAAGTTTCCAACATCTAAACCATGTGGCCAACTTGTAAAACAAGTAGTTAATGTTTGCAACACAACCAATTTTTTGGTCAAGTTTTCAACCTATCAATTATTTACAAATACTTGTGTAGTCAAATCTTTATTTTTAAAGCTTTTGTGAAGCATTTCATCAAGATTTTATGAAATAAACCTACTTTTATATATTTTTATATAATTCTTCTTATTTTTCTAATTACTAGTATTAATATTGATGTCCATGATATTTACTTGGATCTAAATAGATCTAATTTTAATAACATTATAAAATTAGTTAATAAATTAATAGAATTATTTAAGAAATTTTATCTTAATATAATTTTGATGATCTTACTTTATATGAAGTTTGCTAACTAACATGAGCTTTATTATATATTTTATATACCAAATATTTTATAGATTTTATTAACATAAATTAGGTAAAAAAAAATTAAGAAATTATATCTTTGTTGAATAATATTTTTGATATTTGAATTTTATAATTTTTTGGTATTTTAAATATATATATATATATATATATATATATATACTATTTATTTTTCATCTATCATTAAATCTTTTTTATTATAAAAAATCAAACATATAAAAGTCTATTATTATTTCATGAAAAATAAAATAAAATAAATTAGCTAGTTGTATACATTTAATGTATATTTCTACATATCAACAAATTGTTGATATTTTCACTAAAGCCTTATAAATATATTTAAGCTTTAATTAAGTATCAAAAATATTAAATTTAACTTTAAAAGAGAATATTATTATAGTGCAAGCTAACTACCAAAATAGATAGAACTTACATATTTATATTTTTAATTTATATTTATAAATCACATATTTACATATCAAATTTATATTTATAGATTACATATTTACATTTAAAGTTTATGGTTATGACATCCAACTGCTTTATAACTAACTCTCACTCATACATATACAAGAGGGGTTGATTATTGTCTATCACTTTCTTGGGCAAGCTTTGGATTCTCTCCCTATTATATGTTTCTATATAGAGGCAATTATATTTCAATGCAAATCAGAAAAAAAAAAATGTGAAATCCTGCAAGACTGCTATTATAAGAGTTATATTTTATTTATTTGTAACACTATCTTTGTGCTTGAATTACATAGATTTCTCTTTCAGCTTGTGAGGAGATTTAAAACATAGCAACTTTAGCAAAGTGAGAGGTAGTTCTACGACCCAATCTTAGTTCCACAGCAACCTTATAACGAATTGCATTGAGAATTTGATAAAAGCAGGATGGCTGACTAATGGGTGTACTGTCAACGAGAACCTGGAGTATTGAAGTCCTCATATCTTCAACAAAAAAAGGACTGTTGCAATTGCATAATGTCATGTGATGGCTTCAACTGTAAATCCCTGCCAAGCAATTGGCCTAGCCCCTAACCCTCTACCCCTTCAATCCTTGCAGCTTTGCCTTCTACACCATACTCAGTAGGTGGCACTAGGTAGCTGCAAAGCTTAGTATTCCAAGGTTGAGTAACTACCACTGGCAATGTAAGTAAGATTGCACTGGGCCTGTTCTGTCTCTGCCAATAAATTGGCCTAGCCCCTAACCCTCTACCCCTTCAATCCTTGCAGCTTTGCCTTCTACACCATACTCAGTAGGTGGCACTAGGTAGCTGCAAAGCTTAGTATTCCAAGGTTGAGTAACTACCACTGGCAATGTAAGTAAGATTGCACTGGGCCTGTTCTGTCTCTGCCAATAAATTGGCCTAGCCCCTAACCCTCTACCCCTTCAATCCTTGCAGCTTTGCCTTCTACACCATACTCAGTAGGTGGCACTAGGTAGCTGCAAAGCTTAGTATTCCAAGGTTGAGTAACTACCACTGGCAATGTAAGTAAGATTGCACTGGGCCTGTTCTGTCTCTGCCAATAAATTGGCCTAGCCCCTAACCCTCTACCCCTTCAATCCTTGCAGCTTTGCCTTCTACACCACACTCAGCAGGCTGCACTAGGTATAGCTGCAAAGCTTAGTATTCCAAGTTTGAGTAACTACCACTGGCAATGTAAGAAAGATTGCATTGGGCCTGTTCTATCTCTGCCTCTAACGTAACCTCCGTGCAGCTTAGCCAAATCAACTAACAGAACCACCAAAGACGGTCTTTTGGATGTGGGCAAAGACTGCTATCCCCTCAAAAACAGCTTCTACTGGGAAAAACCTCTGAGAGTGTACACTTAAATGGCTCAAAGTAGCTGTTGCACCAGAAGCAAATGAATTGAAAAGTTTAAAACTCCAGCTCCATATCCCACCAGTAATTGCTTAAGCACATCACGATCTCTCTGTATTTTTGGTCGGAAGTTAATGCAACCAAGCCATCTGTACCGCTACAGGAGAATTTTGACTCGACCTACTAAAAAATGAACAAGTCAAAAAATAACTGCAAAATGAAATGCTGTGTTCGGTGTAACTGCACGCGACAACTAAATTTTCGATGAGCTCACAGGAGAATAGAAGTAACATTGTTCCAAAACCTAATAACTTGGAATGAGCAGAACATTTCAGACGAAGCAGACCGGCTGCAGAATTAGCGAATCCGTGAAGAGATAAATGGTATGATCTACCCTTTTAACTGTGCGGTTGAAAAAGTACCTTGGTGTAGACGATAGTGCCGAAATCGTCAAAAATTGTAAATCACGGCTAAACGAGTATTTTGAAAGATCGAGAGTATATGCTGTCTAAAGCGACGTACTCCCGACCATCACTGAAAGTTGTAGTGAGAATTAATCAACGTCACCGTGACATTGCCTATATCATCACTTTCATAATTGAAACAACAGCTTGAGATAAGTAGTAACAAGGACCCATCAGTTTCTACTTGCCACCATATCTGGACGACTTCGACTTCATCTTTAGCCATCCTAAAATTGGTGCCGGATTCGGAGCTACGGAAATCAGAAGAAATAGATGAAAACTAAACAATCGTTCCAGCTTTTCAAGAGCATCCTTCATCCTTGTCTCGGGAAGCGCGTAGGTCTTTGCGAATCTGTGCTCACTTATAGTCGAGCTCAGATTCGTCTTAATTTGAGTTAGTGTTTGAAGATAGAAAGAGAGCTCAAAATATTGTGGGTGCATGATCTTAGAGGCATCGTGGGCTTCACTCAACGATGTCTCGTGATGCGTGCACCCATTAGAAAGTTTGCGCAGAATCGTGTAGCCGTGGTGCTGTGTCTGGAGGTCAGGTTCGAAACCACTCTACGTGACAGACTTCTCCTCTAAATCTGAGCGAGGCCCTTTCTGAAGCTTTGGGCTCAACTTGGTTGTACTCAGAAGTTCTTAAGTTTCTCTAAGATGACGATTGGTGTTATGGAGAAGGAGAGAAACAGCAGGAGGCTCACTTTGATTCTTGTCAATTTGGCTGCTGTTTTGGAGCGAGCCGATGAGGCCCTTCTTCCCGCTGTCTACGACCAGGTCTTACGCTCTTCATCTCTTCCTTTTCAGACAGCAAGTTTACGAATCTGTAAGTGTAGGCCTGTGCTTAGGTTGTGTGACGAATTTGGTATTCTTGTATTTGCGATTGAGTTGCTGATTGCCCAACCTTGTGGTTCCAATGTTATCTCGGAGTTGTGGCTGATTAGGTTTGCCGTGCGCCACTAGCTTTCTGAGTCCTTTATATTCAGGCATCGACTCCGGTATTATCCTTGGAATTGATAATCACAACTTGGCTCACTGAAGTAGAAACAGTGTGTGACAATCTAGCACGGTGTAGTCAATTTGGGTTAGTAATTTTTTGAGTCAAGATCACGCAATACAACTGTGCAAGACAAGGTGCGGATGGCTTGGAACACGGCCAGGAATGTGATTTTGTCCTGAAATGCCCCCTTATGTTGGAGGGGAGCTTCTGAAGCTTGGATATACTCAGATTCTTTGTTTTTTACATCTTAGGGCTTGAACTGAACGGATTCTTTCAAATTTTTCTAAAGTAGTCATCACCCTTGGCACACTCAGGTGGGAAAAGCTTTTGGAGTAACACCTGCAGCATTGGGTACATTGACGTTCGTAAGATCACTTGTGCAAGCGGCGGCATCTCCTCTGGCAGCCTACTTGGCAATTACATGTGATCGGATCATTATTATTGCAGTTGGCGCTTTGGCTTGGGGTATCGCCACTGCCGCCGTAGGGGCGTGCACTGCTTATTGGCAGGTAATAATTTAACAAGAAGACGAAGTTAGCATGTGTTTAATATATACTTTTTTACAATTTTTGCCTAGTATATTGAAATTTTATTGTTGCTTAGGTTATAGAACTCTTTGTCGTTGTTTCAGGTGTTTGGTGTGCACATGTTTCAGGTGGCTATTGTGAAAGCGTTCAACGGCATTGGCCTTGCGATGGTAGTTCCTGCGATTCAATCGCTAGTAGCTGACATGCATAGAGAGGGTGAACGCGGATTAGGATTTGGTTTTCTTCACGGAGCTGGCCAAGTTGGGACATTATTAGGTGGAGTTTTTGCCACGCTGTTGGGTGCGAGGACCGTAGGGGTTATCGCTGGATGGCGATTTGCATTCTTTTTGATGGCCATTGTGAGCGTGCTTTTAGCTGCTGCCATCTACATATTCGCTGAAGATCTTAAGCCACCTCCTCCTGTCGACTTAGTTAGGTCAATAAAAGCTTCCCTATTGCTACAGCGATGTTTGTACTTGCCAGACTTCCTGTTTGTTATCCTTAAAACAATTTGCAGACACTCTCTAACATTGGTCCTCCAAGTATATTTTCTTCACTCACATTCGATTTTAAAGGGCATTTACATTTCTGACAATTACTATATCTTTTGTGTAGTAACGAGCCTCTTGTTCAACGAGACGGCAAGACGGCACTTTTGTCTGGTTCACGACAAGAGAGTCAACTCAAACAGCTCTGGAAAGGGACAAAGAAAGTGTTGAAGGTAGCTCATCTACTGTGTGTATTTCAGAGAGTAGCTGATGAGTAGCAGAGTTCTCATACAATCTTTAAGCTCGTCGTTCATGGGATTTTTACTTGCATGTCTAAGAATGAATTCCTCTGGCAGGTTCCAACTTTCCAAGTCATTCTAGGCCAAGGCCTTGCGGGCCAAGTTCCTTGGCAAGCAATGTCATTCACTACACTCTGGCTTGAGCTCCTCGGATTTGGTCACACCCGGGCTGCCTTCCTTGTAGCGCTCCTCTCAGTTGGTAATATGCTAGGTTCTGTTTTCGGCGGCTGGTTAGGCGATTTGGCTGCCCGGTATTTTCCAAACGCAGGACGTATCATGTGCTCCCAGTTTTCAACTTTTGTTGGTGTTCCTTTATCAGCAATACTGTTACTGGCGCTGCCACAAAGTATTACCTTCTCCTGGGCATATGGCTTGATCTTCTTTTTCATGGGCTTCTTGATGTCGTGGAATTCCCCAGCAACAAATTGGCCAATCTTTGCAGAAATTGTGCCAACTGAGCTTCATACAACAGTTTATGCCGTCGATCAGGCAATTGAGAAATCTTTGGCAGCTGCCGGCGCACCATTGGTGGGATTGCTAGCACAGACGTTTTTCGATTATGAGACAGGGAAGGGAAGCTTCACTCCTGATTTGCACAATGCCAAGGCACTGGCCAGGGGGTTGTTTGTGTTGATAGCATGCCCATTCGTCATATGCTTCCTTGTCATCTCGCTTCTCTACCGCACGTATCCCAGAGATAGAGACCGTGTGAAGGAGGCAGATCCTTCTGCACAATGATTCAAGTAAATCTGCTTAGAATAGTGTAACTAAGCCCTCATTTGCCAGCCCTTCTACATCCTTTATCGAGTTATGGTTTAGGCCGTTGGAGGTTATTGACTTTCACTTGCTAAGCCAGTTAGAAATTAGGAGTATCCCATGACCTGAACCTGGGCTCGGTATTGTTACCGTATAGCTTAGCAATTGCACAAGCCTGGTGGAGGCAAGAATGTAAAAAATTTAAAACAGGTTCTTCGAGCCTTCGATACGTCTGTATCAAGGTAATGACCCTCATAGTAATAACAAGCATTTGTTGAAGCTTTTAGAATATTCAGGCCTGAAGGAATCAGCACCTAGACTTTTCAAAGCTCGATCTCGAATTATGTGTGCAAGTGAAGGATGTGCAGATCCTCTTCCACTTACAACGATCCGCCTGCAGTGGACGTAAGACTTTAATAGAGGTTTATATATAATCACATTTTGGCTCAAAATCCGAGAGAATCAGATTCTCTCGAATCTGATTCACTGGTGTTTCTTCATAAAATTATCTCCAGTCTTCTCAGCGGTCTTAAAACTTCTCGTTCTTTATTTGGATATATTAAGAGAATATGGATGTACTGTTGTAATGGATATTAGGGTTTGAGAGGCCGATGGATAAAGCTAGGGTTTATCAATTCTATCTCCCCGAAGGCTCAAAGGCTCCATCTCCGCCCCCAGGTTCACCTTCCTGTTCATTCCTCGCCGTAGCTGAGAATCGTCTTGTCCATACGCGAGTGCGCAGGAGTGAGCACGCACGCAGACATGTCGCACAGGAAATTCGAGCACCCCCGTCACGGGTCTTTGGGGTTTCTGCCCCGCAAGAGGGCCGCTCGCTCTCGCGGGAAGGTGAAGACCTTTCCCAAGGATGATGCCTCTAAGGCGCCGCACTTGACATCTTTCCTGGGATACAAGGCCGGGATGACCCACATCGTGCGCGAGGTGGAGAAGCCCGGGTCTAAGCTGCACAAGAAGGAGACGTGCGAGGCCGTGACCATCGTGGAGACGCCGCCGATGATCGTCGTGGGTCTGGTGGCATACATTAAGACGCCGCGTGGGTTGAGGTCACTGAACACGGTGTGGGCTCAGCACCTGAGCGACGAGGTGAAGCGGCGGTTCTACAAGAATTGGTCTAAGTCGAAGAAGAAGGCGTTTTCGAATTACAGCAAGCGGTACGAGAGCGAGGAGGGGAAGAAGGATGTGGAGTCGGAGCTGGAGCGGATGAAGAAGTACGCGAGCGTGATCCGGGTGTTGGCGCACACGCAGGTGCGGAAGCTGAAGGGAATCAAGCAGAAGAAGGCTCACTTGGCGGAGATCCAGGTGAACGGGGGGAACATTGCGGAGAAGGTGGACTTCGGGTTTAAGCTGTTCGAGAAGTGGGTGTCAGTGGACGCGGTGTTCAGGAAGGACGAGATGATCGATATCATCGGCGTAACGCGGGGGCACGGGTACGAAGGCGTGGTGACGCGGTGGGGAGTGACTCGGCTGCCGAGGAAGACTCACAGGGGTCTTCGGAAGGTGGCTTGTATCGGTGCATGGCATCCGGCGCGCGTGTCATTCACTGTGGCGAGGGCTGGGCAGAACGGATACCACCACAGGACAGAGATGAACAAGAAGGTGTACAAGGTGGGGAAGGCGGAGGATAAGCAGTCGTTCGGGGCGTCGACGGAGTTCGATGTGACGGAGAAGGAGATCACACCGATGGGCGGGTTCGCGCATTATGGGATCGTGCGGGAGGATTATCTGATGCTGAAGGGAGGAGTGATGGGACCGAAGAAGAGGGTGATCACACTTCGGCAGAGTCTGTACAAGCAGGTGTCACGAAGCGCGTTGGAGGACATCAAGCTGAAGTTCATCGACACATCATCGAAGTTTGGTCACGGTCGGTTCCAGACATCGTTTGAGAAGGCGAAGGTGTACGGTAAGGTCAAGGCAGCGGCTTAAGGGGCTGAAGCATAGCCCACGGTGGAGTCTAAATTACTGAAGTTATGATATGTCATTGGGGCTTTGGAGGCATGCAGTGGATGCATGTCATGGGCCTCTGGCATGCAATGAAGCAAACCCATTGATGAGTTTGTATGCCTCTGCCATGCCCTTCCTCGATTGCCCGCTGTCCAAGTATACCTTGGTCATGCTGGCTGTAAGCTTCGATACAGTTGATTTTATATTGCTTTGGGATAGTCCTCGCATTAATTGTATCTTAAGTGAGGGCTTGCAAGTCTCGAGCAAGTTACGGGCCACTGGCAAGTGCCTCCGATTTCGATCGACCCTTTATTGGTGTTGGTCATCTGTGCACCTCTGCCATGCCCACCTCCTGATCATTGCTTGTGCAGGGAGTCGGTTGTACATTGGGTTCTCAATACAAGGCTGACAATGTCTTCATTCTGGTCTCTTTCTATGGGATTGGATATTTATGTTGAATTTAGTACGCAGGGATGTCACGACCTACTTTCTCGGTATGTAAAGTTCCTGTGGTTCATGAACTAGCGATTCATTAAATACAAATAAACATGCACCTATTCTGATCACACTTTTTGTCCCTGGCCATTTGTTTTGATAATGTTTCTTATTATTCGTGATTTTGTACGACTGACCATCTGCTTATTTATCTCACGCGAAAATAAAATGCAACGTATTTCTGTACGAGTTGATTTCTTGGTGTGATCTCTGCAATCGCTTGTGAATTGAAGGGCATATCTTCTGTGCACAGATACACACATTCGTATGCAAATACTCATATACTTACATAAGATAGTGGGAAGTCTGGGAGCATTCACTTTCATGTGTATACCTGTACCGGCATATGTGAGATTTTGTCCATCTCTCTTCTGCTTGTCACCTCTATTGTAAGGAGAAAAATTGCCAGTCAAGTGTCAAAGTTGCCAGTTGTACAGCTAGGATTCGAAATGTTTCACAAGTGATAGTAGCCACATTGTGCATGTGAAATTGAAGATGTATTTTAGAGGAATCTCTGTCCGAATAAAACTTAGCTTCTAGAAAAATTATTACCACTTTAAGAATATATCCTATATTGATATAAATTTTAGTAACAGTACTATGTTATGTTCATTTAATTTGTACATTTATCTCCTTGTCCAAGCTGGAGGGCTGTTCTCGTGCAAATTAAAATAATTTTTTGCAAGAAAAAAGTAACAATTACAAGACGGTACTAACCATCTCAACAGCAAACAATAGATTTTAGCCCGAGATAGTCGCCACAATTAGGATTAATTATTGGGGATGATTATTTTTTGGGAAATTATTTACTGGGAGGATAACTATTGTACGTCAGATATTTATGCAGATATTTATGCAGATATTTTAAAAACAATTTCTGAATTTTGCCAGTCATAGTACTCACTTTCGTGTAAGAAAATCTTAAATAAATTTAGCTTCCTTTTGCTCTAGAATTGATTTTAAAACATTTTTACAACCAATATGAAGAATTATTCTGTAAACAAAGTTGAATGTTCTTTACTTCTCTTCAAATCCTTCACCAATAGGATGTCTATTTGATGTCATTGAACTTATGTACACACATGATTCTTCATGGATATATATATATGTATAAAAAAGTGTATATAAAACAAAGATGTATATAACTTCATAAAGATAAAACTGAGCACCAGTGGTTAACATATATCTACTTGCATAATAGAATCATTACATTATCTATTTTAATTAACCTTACCAACAAACTTGGAGATGCAACCGAGAATTTGCATTTGACCTTCCGTGCAAGCTTATGCAAGAAAATTGACACGTGAAAGCATTCAAATTGCAAAAAGAAGTAATAAAGAAATAAAAAGTTACATGGAAAGTAAGTGAACTCGAAGGTCCAGTACACTTGATGCTAGACTTGAGCCCAAAAAGCTTGGGTGTGAGAAACACCTTGCTTGTCACATCTACTTCTTACAGGTTTGCTATGTTCCATTGGATTGTGTGATAGTGACTATTGAGACAGAGACGACCAACCTGAGGAACCGATCAGATGAGGTTGATTGTTCAATCCGTTCTAAGTACAATTTATGGGTGCAAGGATGAAGCACTCACCGCATGAGTGGTATAAGAAAATACTCCGCATAGAACAGCTGCACCAAGCCATGAAAGTTGTTGAATGTCAATTCACGCCATGCATATATGACGACTATTAGATGGGGCTCGTAAAACACCCTCTATCGAACTTCTCGGGTACCCCTGCCAATTCTGCCCGTCCATGAACGTTCATCCCCCCCGCAAGTTCTGTCCCCCGTCACTCAGGTCCGTTCTCAACATCGCCAAGATAGCCTGTGTGCTTTACTGTACTTTTTGCTTTCTGTGCTTTCTGTGTACTTGTATTGTTTCTATTCCTACTCAGCATCCAATTCGTATCAACGTGAGAGCTCATGCTTGGGTGCTCTACTGCATACGTTCATGAAGCACAAATGCGATCTTGAAGATAGAGCTGAGAGACGGGCGACGAAGTTGGCTGGAGGGACGAACGTTCATGGACGGACAAAAACAAGTAGGGCTCCCCAAGAAGTTGGATGGGGATGTTTAACGAGCCTCTATGAAATTCAGAAAGGAGAGGAATTTATTATTTATGGCTCTCTTACTGTGTAATGACTAAAAGCAGCTACAGAATACTTCACAAGAGTGGAGTCAAAAAAGAGAAGTTCGAGCAATTACTAACCTTCCAAATGAACATATACCATGAAGCAATGGCAGCTCTACTGCTCAAATCCACGTTCCGAGACCGGTACCACAATATTGTAGCAAGTGCAGTATGGCCTAAACCCTGCAGTTATCATAGGGAAGTTTCACCTGATAACATTAGCATGTGATAATGATAACTCAGTTAACCGGGCAATCATTTTTTTAGCTTAAGATTAAAATATTTCAGACGATGCTGAAAAACTGCAAAGATCTGGACTTCAACCTACGTTTTCACAGTAATCTAGAGCCACCATCAAGAACCTGAGGCCGAGTACCATCAAAAAAACATGTGAGCTTCCTGGGAATGAAACCATGGTTCCAAGTTAAACACGACAATACCATGGCGATTTTGCTCCAAAGGACCGTAGATGTGACACCAACGATAAAAGCTGATGCATATGCTGCTTGAAGTAGTCCAACGCACATCCAGAAAACCTGAGGAGAAAATTCTTCAAAAACTGACTTAAAACATTCAGATACGAAACTGAAAAAGACATAAGTATTGATCATCAGAAGACTGTTTAGTGACGGATGCTCACTTCTTAGAGGCGGAAACAAGACTCACTTCCAAACTCACCTTTTTCTTTCCCATTCTTACACTGAAGGTGCGTATACCGAACACCTTATCTCCGTCTACATCAGGAATATCCTGAATGGAAACAGAGAATAGTTGAAATGAAAATCGCATTAAAAATTGTCAGCAGATGAAAATTTCGCCCCAGCTTGATGCATCATTGTTCGTGACAAGTTTATTAAAAATGAATGTTTGTAACCAGGTTCACTAATGGTAAATTTCTGGATTAGGCATAGTTCTCTTCTGTAAAATGTTCCTAAACAAGCACGTTTTCTAATTTCCTTGTATGCGAGAAGAATGTTACGCAATCTTACCTTGGCAAGCGCAATGACAATGGAAAAAAAGCACATAAATCCCATTGTAAAGCACAATGGTCGAGTAAGAGCTGCTGCCCTGCTGAATACAAAGGCCTGGGTACACGTACATTGTTAAATGACAAATTCGGTATGATTCATAAAATTGAGCAAAGAGAGTAGCATCTCAAAACTACCTAAAACTTTTAGAATGAAGCACTTGATTAGGTCTAAACATCACGTCATTCGTACCCAGAATCAGATTTTATCACTATGTCAGCTCAGACTGCTGCTTATGCAACACTAATAGACACATTGCTAATATAATAAGGAGAGAAAGGAGTCAGGGCAAAGTCAAACCTGCATATGCAGGTAGAATCCAAGCTGTACCACAACAGCTCTCACAACCAGAATACAGGACGCGGCAGCAACCGCAGATCTCTTCCACCGTAGCATTGGAATCTGAAAGAATATTTAATGAGAAACAAAGTAACTATTTTCTTCAAACATACTATATCAGGCATCATATTCATCATCCTTCGTGGAACTACCTCTGTTTCACGAGACCTTCACAGGTTTTAAAAGAAAATGATATTAGATGTAGCGCTTTATGCACGCAAAATTCAGTTTTACAGCACCCAGCCTATTACGAAGCGATTATAGAAGACCAATTCAGTACATCATGCTAATATTGTGTTTCAGGTTCCTAGAAGGGTGGAAACTCACATCGGCCGAATACGCAGTCCCAAGAACGAAGCTGACACCCAAGGCCCAAAGCAAAGGTTCTGATCCCACAAGTAATCCCATTGCCAGACTCTGCAACAATTCTCAGCTTGAATCAATGCCCACCTATGAAAGGTTCGAGGAGTAAATAATTTCATTCTAAACAAAGCGGGTTGACATTCCCAGGCCGAAGATTCAACACATGAAAATAAATACACAAGTTAACTCACCAACGCTGCAGAGACGGTCACTATCGCAATGCCGGTGTTCAGAGAGAATTCACCAGACGCCAACGGAAGATACGGTTTATTCACCTACAGAAACATGTTGGATAGTAACTATTGTGGAGCAAGGCGAGACTGTAAGCCATCCGATGACTTATTTTAAAACTTCTTGTTAATAGCCAGTAAGATGAATGATGTAGAAACTTGACGTGGTGAATATACCGTACATTTCAAGAAAGCTTTCAATCTGGTGAGAAGAGAAGAACTTCTGAATGTTATCAAACTAGAGACTTGTATTACAACCCAAACTCATCGGAACTTGGTGATGCGACCACAGAAATCTCACAATTCCCCTAGAGCAATAGTGTTGAAATATAAAAGCTTTCCGAATTCTTTTAATTTGCCAGCTCACATACCTTGTCAATTCCAATGTCATATAATTGATTTAGTCCAACTATGTACACGTTCATAAGAAGTGCAGGAATCAGTGCCTGCAGAACCAAGAGGAAACAAAATTCAGATCACTAAAAGAAATGTGTATTGACTTTAATGATCTTCTTATTTAAAAAAAGAAACAACCCAAAAGAGAAAGGAAAAGGAATTTAATTTAATTTTTAATTTTAACAAAACTAAAAATTAAAAATCTGATGGTTTGAGGAGGAATAACTTAGAAGTGCTTCTCAGCATATTATACTACTGATTTCTTGCAAGTCAATTGTACCATATCTATCAAGCACAGTTATGGCAAATAGAATAGTGCCTTATCTAAGGGGAGCGGGACAAAGAGTGAAGATATATAAAAGAAAACTTGCTAAATGTTTTACATGCCTGAAGCAATCCAATTAAAAATATTGAGGAAATATCAGCTGGACTCTGAATCGCCAGCATCGATACTGAAATAACACCCAGTGCCTGAGAAGAAAACTATCAGTCAATTATTCAAAGCATCTTCCTCTGCCATAAAGTAAACACGGGATGGCAATTAACGAACTGACAACGTCCATTGCGATTGTAAGCTACACACGAAGTAGAAGCTGCTTCATGAATAAGAAGACCTCAACCTTAGCAAACGTGACAGGTAGTATGAAGACTCACCGAGCCGTAAATGGTGTGGGGACGGGAGAATCTGTATAATGCATCAAACCAGCCAACAACAGCTTCAATCAGATTTCCGGCATTTTTAGCAACAGAGGAACCATCGTCGGCATCCAGGGGCCTCGCTGTAGCAGAGACAGACAAATGAGATTTTTTTCTCGCGTCGCACTTCAATCTCTTATTTGTGTTTCGAAGAAGCCTGGAAAGTGGCTCAAAAGAATGAGAGCCAACCAGCTTACCAGATGAACTCAGACTAAGGAGTTTTGGATCAGATATCAAGGAACACGATTTCTGTCTCCCCCCTGTATCACATCATAGGAAATCAACGTCACATTTGAAGAATTCGAGGTCATATCCATCTACAGTCAAATCTTTAGTCGGTTCAAAGAACTACTGCATTATAATATTCAAATGATCATGCAAATTTCGCTCACTGCAAGTCTAGCTAGGCTGCAACCTCACAAACCAGCACTGAAAAAATGTGCTTCCATAGTAAGTAACCAATCCGCAACTATGTGGAAATTGTATTTGAATAATCAGCCTAATACTGAAATCAATGCTGATGACCACTACACAACGACTTCGAATGAAATCAGACTTACCACCATAATTTTGCAAAAAGAAAAAGAAAAAATCATACTCAGCAATGCAGTTCATACTATCAAGAAGTACTCTAGATTTACGCTCACAGAAGCCACCATTCAACATGCAAATATTCACACAATACCAATGCGAGGACTTGCACTGGAAAGACAGAGGTGGACATTGAAGAGGAGCAAATTTCTGGTCGAACATAAGTCACGTACAAGAATTGAAAACTGGAATTGATGAAGCAACTCACATTGAAAGCAGGTTATTTCATGCGTTGATTGCACAGTGACAGAGAACTGTGATTTCCGTTGAGCGGTGAATCTCCGTGTCTGAGTAGCGCTTACCAGACCTCGCCGATTTAGACACAACGCGACCGGCTGTAAGCTTTCCATCACGATACCGGTACGGGAATTTGCTTAACAGTGATTGTGATAGTTGCAATCACACAACGACCAGAAGATAGAATGGTGTCAAACTGTGATCCTTGTTCAGCTAGTGGCTGTAGACATTCAGGATTCCACTGCGATCAAGTGCTCCTTGCAGGCGGCGAACGTGGATTCCCAATTACATACCTCTGACAACACGACCATACAACACTAAGCAGGGCTCGATGAGCCAGAATAACTGCGTTTCAAACACGAGTTTCAATAGTTTGGCCTACTTATGGACTTCCAATCGTCTGATCATCCAAAATCAGCAACGAGCCCTTTGCAGCTTCTTCTCACTTGTGCATGCAGGGACTGCTCTCCGGATACTTCGAGCTCGTTCCTGCGAGAATGATAAACTTCACCACAGTAAGAGACTGCGGAAATCTAGTCGACAAATTCCAGCAGCGCCGCCGCTTCACAACAGTCACACACTTTCGCTATACCTCACAACTTCTGCGCGATGCGCACAAAAGACTGACAGCGTCACTAGAGCCACGACACAGCCCGCGAACATTGCAAAGACAGGCTTCTCAACCAGACCACTAGAAGTAGGGCAAAATGGGATGAATAAAATAATTCGAAAATATTATAATACTTGAATGAATGAATGCACGGAGAGGAATCTCCGTAACCAGGCTCCCTCCTCCTCTATAGTGCCAAGCACAAAACTCCTCTATCTCAACAGCGGCATTCACACCTCCAAGAAAAGAGAAACAAGGCGTGGTGAGCAGGCTTCAGGAGTGGCAATAAAATTACAACTCCTGCAGAAAATTGAATGAAATACGACAAGCTATCAAGAGGCAACAGAAGGGAATGCGAGGGGCAGCGAAAGCAAAAGCGATGCGGTGATCTGAGGAGCGGGCAATGTGCATGGCACGACCCGGGGATCTAGAGCGAGGCGAGGAAGGGACGGAGATATGGCAAGCAGGTGTCTCCACACGAGCACTAGTAGCGGCACTGTCACGGTCATCACCCGTAGATATGGCCCCTTGGAAAACCTACTATGCCCTTGGAAGGGGAAGGGGAGAGGGAAGTAGCTACGCAAGGGTAGCCCCTCCTCCTCCTCACGGCATCAGAATGTAAAATTCTTCCGCCAGCCCGCTCGCCCCGGTGGACATTCTATTTATACCACGTCAACCGCGACAGAACTGTTCAATTATAAAATAAGTAAAGAGAGAGAAAGAGAGAGACCTCGTGATCCCCTTCCCTCCGAAGACGGATGGTCTCAGTTCGGGCAGAAACTATAATGCCACGTAAGTTCGTAAAAGCGTGAGCCAGTCCCTGATCGCGGAGACACATCTGCGGTGATATCACAACAACACGGCAACAGGCTCTCCTTATGTACACCTCTCGAGAGGTGTAAGTGTGTCTGTAAGTGTGTCTTTTTTTGGAATTCGGTTGGGTAAAATTCCCACTAAGTGCCCCCCCTCATCCGTCGTCCTCTAACATCCATTGCAAGCTCATCGGAAGCTCTGATGATTGGAAGGGATGTTTTGCTTTCCTTCACCCCCCCCCCCTTGATTTGATCCTCCCCCTCCTCAAGCACGGTGCACCTAGTCCACTATTCGTGTCCAGTTATAGTCACCGCTCACGTATCTCCTCCCTTGCGGACCCGGCGTCGCTCTCCGTTTCTTCCTCTTCTTCTTCGTCGAGAACCCCTTTTACTTGTGTAATGTAGTGTAGGTACTTATTAGGAGACTCGTATTTGTCTTCGTTTCAGTGTCGCATGAAGCACTTTTTACAATTTTACCAGGTCCGACAACTCGGTAATAGTGAGCATTGGAGGACAAACGTTTGTCCTTCAAACTAAGGTAATTGTTTTTACAAAGAGTAAAAAGACATTATGTATATTTGTTTTGACCATGCAAGTGGCCTTAGATGATGATATTCAATTGTGGACAATAATAGAAGATGATGGAACAAATAAATCTACTCTTTGATGATTCTTGTTGTCCAAAAGGAGTTTGTTGTGTTGGACATTAAAGAAGTATAGTAGAACAATGAAACCATCATTTTAGTTGTGGGATTGAATAGGAAGACATTTAATAGTATGTATCTTGAGAGAGATGATAGAATGGAAACATTATCTTGTGAGAAATCATGTGGCTCAATAGGAAAATTTATAATAGCAAATCTTAATAGGAAAATAAATAAATAAATAAATAAATGATATTCATAAGTATTTTAAAAGGATTTATGTGGTCCTAGATGAGGATATATTACAATGGATGTTCAAAGCTTTTCAATAGAAAACATATTGAAATTTTGAAAAGAAGGTCTCAAAAATAAAATAAAAAAAAAAAATTGGTTTATTGATGGACAGAGGGATATTGGATGCGACATTATTCAGATTTACAACACGTATAAGAAATTTTCTATGATTCTAAAAATAACATAATAATAAAACTAAGTACTTTTTTTCCTATTCCTATAATAAATAATATTATATATTATAAGTCTATTTAGAAGTTTAAAATTATTGAAGAAACATAATAAGCAAGACACAAGTAAGTAGAAAATAGCAAGGTTAGACATATGAGACGTGTGGAATGAGATACCTTTCACTTCCAACATCCTTTACTTATAGGTAGAATTTACATCCATTTTGATTAGCGTTTATTTTACTTTCATCCAACTAAATCCTAAATTCCTCTTAGCCTAGCCACCACCTTAGTAACTTTCCTTCATCCTTTTGCTACCCTTTGACTATTAGCAACATATCTAAGATAATATCTTTTACCTTCTAACTTATCCTCCATTTACTTTAATACTCTCACTTTTCTATTGATCAAAGACTAATAAACCTAATTCCTTTGTCAATTTATAATGTCTATCCTTCACGAATGCTTTTGTGAGCAAATTAGTAAGCATGTCTTCTATTGCACAATACTTCATGTCAATCACTCCCATCTCAATCTTCTTCCATTGTCGTGTTGTAACACGAGTATACCGTGAAAATATAAAAAAAGGGGACTTTTATTAATGTTCAGTCACCTCGAATATTGGGAGCAACGACCGATTTCAGTGCCAATATTCAAGGGCTAGTTCAAACACCCCGTCACAGTCGGTCAGGGCATACTTACCAATAACGAAATGCTCCGTTTGAGTCCAATAATAGGAGTCAACAAAATCGAAAGGACTAAATCGATGACTGAGCGAGCTTGACGCGAAGGACCAATTTGACCCAATTATGGGAACATCCAGATCTTACTATGGGCCTCTTAACCAATATGAGACCTGATTTGGTCGGGCGACTCAATGTGGTCCCGATTACGGAGGTTTCGATTCCGTTTCAAGTTGTCCTGTTCTCCGTGCCATTTCAAGGAACGTTGTTTTCGGAAAAAGAACCTTTTAAAAGGCAAAAAATGGAGGAGAAAGCTCTGACGGCAGAGCCAATTCCAGATCCAAGACAGAAGATTGAAGAAATTCAGAGGCTAGGATTTGAGAAAAAAAGAAGAAAAAAAAATATTCGGAAATGGTTAGGGGAGAGGAGAGGATTCAGAGATTCGGGAATTAGGGAGGTTAAGAAAAAGGGAGGATACAAGGTTTTTGGATAGGGGTCAAAAAAGGGACTTCTGGCGATCAATGCTGAAAGGTCAATGTGTTGTACTGGTGAATCGGGGTTTTAATGAAGTGGGTGTGATTACTCTTGACTATTTTGTGAAATCGAAGTTACGTTTGTGATTGAAGAATTAAAAGGGTGTCTATAGGATTGAGTATGCGGAGTGAATGAAAATTTTTGGGTTAATCTAACAAGACAGACAATGGATACAAGGTCGTGAGTATAAAGCGGTATCGGAGATTAGTAGATTGAGTTATTTGGAATTCTTTATAACATCTAGAGACCTACCGGCTGGGGCAAAAAGGATTTTGGTGAGTAGTTGAAGGACATCCATATAGATTTACGATATATTCTTGCAATCGTTTATATTCCAATAGTTAAAAATCGATAGACTGCTCGAATATTAGCGAATCTCTATACTACCTCCTACAGCCAAATGCCCGGTGCGTTCTTGAGCAGGAAAGCATGTAATATGACATAAGTGGTGAACCCGATGTGAAAGCTTGAGGTGGAAGGTATTGGATTTCGTTTGATTTTATTTTTATTTTTATGGAGAACGAAAATAAAAATTTTGAAGGATCTTTGGGAGGAGTTTCTAGTGGGGGTTCTTCTAAAGGACAAGGTATGCACATGGATCCATCTATTGCTAGTATGTTTCAAGCCTTCTCATTATCAATGCAGCAACAGTAAAGCAATGATCAAAAGGAAGCTTTGGCAACCAAAATATTGCAAGCACTGGTCAATAAAATTGATCAATTTGATGGAAAGAATATTTCAAGGTATTTAAGATGTTATGTTCGTGAAATAGAATTAAATCGAGTTTCTGAGAAAAAATGGTTAAATTATTTGGACTTGCCACGATATCGGAGATAAGAGACCATATTACATCAATTACAAATTGTTATGGGAATTCATGGGAGGTTTTTTCACATGCATTGAAAGACGAATATTTCTTAGAAGATGCTGATTACGTTACTAAGAAGCTGTTTCTAGAATGGATTCAACGGCCTAATAAGAATTTGCAAGCAACAGAGCTACTAAAGAAATTTGACAGATAGTACTCTCAATTATCGAAGGTAGAAAAATTGACATTGAAGCCGAATAAAGTTGATCTATTTCTTCAAGCTCCTGATGGAGAATTGCAAGGAAAATTGGAAGTCCTTCTTGAAGACAAAGAAGAAGATGAAGGATTGACAACAAAGTGGAAGAACGTTGAAGATGCGGTAGGGTTGCTTGCAAAAAGAGAAAGGAAGAAAGATAGGAGTAATATTTCGAAAACAGTACAAGCATCCAAAGCTCCAGTACGTACAACACCACCAACAATGCCTACAATTCAACCTTTGACATCCTTATCAAAGAAAGCAGATATGGGGATGAAAGAAATTATACGAGGAATGCAAGATCTTCAAATCAAATTGACAAGACTTGAAGAGAATACTTCTACAAATAATTTGAAGAATATTTCGAAACAAGGATATGTACAAAGATGCATTTGGTGTGATGACGCTTCACACACTAGGAAAGATTGCAATGAATTTAATAATATGATGCAGCAAGGAATTATTTGCTGAAAAGATGGGAAGATAGAATTAAAAGATAGGGAGGATCTTCTTCAAATCAATTTTGGCAAGGAAAGAATGAGAGCATTGGTTCAAGATTACTTAAAAGAGTATGAAACAACAGCACGAGAAAGTGCAAGTTATGGTGCTAGAGTAGATGATGACCTTGGTGGAAGTACGGAAACTAGTGAGTTTTGGGCTTTTGCCATTTCTACAATGCAAGAATGGAAATTAGCTCGAGAAGCATTATTGAGGACTGCAGCTACAATACGAGGTGCAACAAGTTGGGAGGATCCTGTTGAGTCTCTTTCAGTTCATGCATATATTGCTAAGAGCCAACATGAAGCTTTGATGGAAGAAAAGAGAGGAGGAAATTTTGATGATACGAGAGAAGGAAATTCTTCTAAGAGGCAAACTCAAGGAGACAAGGCTCGGGAGGCAACTTCACAAGAATTGCCTATAAAGGATACCTCAGCATCATTGGAAGAAAAAATAAGAGAGACAAAAGATAAGGACAAATGAATTGCTTATAAGCTACTTTCTGACATTGAAGCGACAACAAATTTGAAAGGGGTGTTGGAAGAACGTATATTAAACGCTAAGGTAGAATTCACATTGAAAGAAGTTTTGGGAATTGCAAAGAAGGAGTTTCATGATGTTATCATTGACAACATTAAGCAAAAGAGGCAATTAATGGGCAAAACTGGAATGAGTCATGCTATTGATGCAAGAATATATAAAGATGAAGAAAAGGTTGATATTGGTTATAAGCAACCAACAAATGAAAAGAATGGATATAATCAACGAGTACATTTCGAAGATTATAGTGATAAGGAAATGGAAACTTTGAGCCATTATACTCGAAAGCATTAGGCAAGAGCAACTACTGAGGTATTGGTGAAAGTAGGAGATATAGAAGAACAAATTGTTGCTTTA